GAAAACTCCAACCCCTCAATAACAAAAAGACAAACGATCCAATTAATAAATGGGCAGAAGACATGAATAAACACTTCACCAAGGAGGATATTCAAGTGGCCAACAAACATATGAAGAAATGCTCACGATTATTAGCTATTGTTGTTGTTGTTATGTGCCGTTGAGTTGGACCTGACTCATAGCGACCCCTCCTTGGGTTTTCGAGGCAGTATCACTATGGAAGTAGATTGCCCCATCTTCCTTCTGAGGAGTGGCTATTAGAGAGATGCAAATCAAAACAACAATGAGATACAATCTTGCTCCAGCACTAGTAGCAAAGTTCAATGAGACAGAAAATAACAAATACTGGGGAGGATGTGGAGAGAGTGGGACTCTCATACACTGCTGGTGGGACTGTAAAATGGTACAACCACTGTGGAAGGCAATATGGTGATTCCTTCAAAAGTTGGAATTAGAAATACCATTTGACCTAGCCATTCCATTATTAGGTATATACCCTAAAGAAATGAGAGCCATGACAAAAGCAGATATATGCACACCCATGTTCATCGCAGCACTATTTAAAATAGCCAAAAGATGGAAACAACCTTGGTGTCCTTTAACTGAGGAATGGATAACCAACCTATGGTACATACACACAATGGAATACTATTCACCCTAAAGAATAATGTAGAATCTGAAAAACACCACATAATGTGGATGAACTTGGAGGACATTATGCTGAGTGAAATAAGTCAATTACAAAAGGCCAAATATTATATTAGTCCGTTATTGTAAAAGTCAAGGAAACGTTTATCTGTGGAAGGACATTTTCTATGTTGGTTACCAGGTGTGGGAGGGGAGGGGAGAGAACACTGTTAGATAGATAGAGATAAGTATTGATTTGGGTGAAGAGAAGGGCAACGTACCAAATGTGAGTGATCAGTATAGTGGCATTGAGGAAGACAAAGACATAGAGAGGTACGTGCGAGGTACAGACAACAAAGATGAACTCTTTTGCACATATAGTATGGTGTTGTCAGTGAAGGCAAACATGGGTATATAGGTGGATAGATGGGTGGACAGGCTGAATTCTTAGGTATGTCTATGAAGCAGGGAGTGTACCCAAAAACATGTTTAGGGTTGGCAGACAATGGTCATATAAGTTTATGTGTATGATCTGAATTCCCAGGTGTATAGTAGAGCTGATAAAGGGCAAGGTTGTAGTCACTGCTTGGTCACAGCCAGCTACACAGTGGGACCAAGTAGTTGAACCTGTGGGCTCGGGACCATAGTTGCAGGGGGCATCAAGCTCAATTGGCATAACATAGCACATGAAACATTGTTCCACCTCCTACTTTGGCAAGTAGCGACTGGCATCTTAAAACCTTGCAAGCTGCCATCTAGATGCAACGATGGGTCTCTCCTTGTCCAGAGCAAAGAAGAATGAAGAAAAGCAAAAATTCATGGAAACAATTAGTCCTAGCAACTGGTTCACCATCCGATCCCAGCCTATACGACTATGAGACCAGAAGAACTAGATGGTGCCCGGTTACTACTGTCAACCACTTCGAAGGGGATCTATGTAGGAGATCCCGGATAGAGAGGGGGAACAATGTGAAACAAAATGCAAAATCATTTGGAGAGAAAAAAAAGGGGGGACCAGGTTTGCAGGTCCGATAGAGCCTGGTGGAACCACTGTGACTATGGTCCCTAGCTGCCCTTCAGGTCTGGAATTGAACCCACGCCTGTGACTCCAGCCAAACAATAGACAGGCATATGAGTTGACCATTTACCTTAGTAGATACACTCCTTGGTGAGAACAATCATGGGAGAAAGAAGGGCATTTTATGCACAGGAGACAGCTCAGGGGGCAGGAGTGCATGGAGGGATCGACACAGGGAAGAGGTAACTATTGGAAAGAAGTATGAGGGGAGCTGTTGCATTGTGGTAAATTGTGGTTAATGTCATGAGACAAAGTGTATGTGAACTGCTGTATGGAAAGTGAATTTGCTCTGTAAATTTTCACCCAAATCACAATAATAATAATAATAATAAAAGAAGACAAAGACAATTACTGTAATGAAATGTGCAAAGACCTGGAGTTAGAAAACCAAAAGGGAGGGACACACTGAGCATTTCTCAAGCTGAAAGAACTGAGGAAAAAATTTAAGCCTTAAGTTGCAATATTGAAAGATTCTATGGGCAAAGTGTTGAATGATGCAGGAAGCATCAAAAGAAGATGGAATGAATACACAGAGTCACTGTACCAAAAAGTACTGGTAGATCTTCATCCTTTTCAGGAGGTGCCATATGATCAAGGACCAGTGGTACTGAAGGAAGAAGTCGAAGCTGCACTGAAGGAATTGGCAAAGAACAAGGCTCCAGGAATTGACAGAATACCCACTGAGATGTTTCAACAAACGTATGCCCCACTGGAGGCACCCAATGGGTTATGCCAAGAGATTTGTAAGACAGCTATCTGGCCAACTGACTGGAAGTGATCCGTATTTGTACTGATTCCAAACAAAGGTGATCCCACAGAATGTGGAAATTATCGAACAATATCATTAGTATCACACACAAGTAAAATCTTACTGAAGATAAATCAAAAACGGTTGTAGCAGTATATTGACAGAGAACTTCCAGAAATGCAAGCTGGATTCAGAAGAGGACGTGGAACAAGGATATCATAGCTGCTGTCACATGGATCTTGGCTCAAGGCAAAGAATAACAAAAAGATGTTTACTTGTGTTTTATTGACTATGCAAAGGCATTTGATTGTGTGGATTATGACAAATTATGTATAACATTGAGAAGAATGGGAATTCCCGAACACTTGATAGTACTCACGAGGAACCTGTACATAGATCAAGAGGCTGGGTCGCCGCTGCCACAGCCGCTGGAGAGGAGCTCCGGGAGGACGGTGGCCCGCGAGGCTCCTCGCAGACAAGGCGGTGGCGATGTCCGGGAGCCAGGCGAGTGCCAAGACGTTAGCGGCTGGGCCTCGCGCGCGGCAGGGCGGCCTGAGCTTCGGCCTCCCTCCGGTTCCCGGGAAGCGGGCCGGCAGCAAACAAGGGAGCAGCAGCAGCAGCAGCAGCAGAGGCGGAGGCTCTGGCGTGTCCCTCTCCTCCTCCTCAGCCTGAGCCACGGGAGGTCAGGCGGCCTGGGTGGCTGGAGGGGGGTCCGCTGCCTGAGAATGAGAATTCTCTTCACTAGGGTATAGAGACTGTCCAGTCACCAGGAGCACAAAGTAATAATTGTTGGGCTGGATAATGCAGGGAAAACTACCATCCTTTACCAATTTTCTATGAATGAAGTGGTACATACATCCCCTACAATAGGAAGTAATGTAGAAGAGATAGTGGTTAATAATACACGTTTCCTAATGTGGGATATTGGTGGCCAAGAATCTCTTCGTTCTTCCTGGAACACTTACTATACAAACACGAACTTTGTATAGTGGTTGTGGACAATACAGCAGAGAAAGGATTTCTATAACTAGAGAAGAACTCTATAAAATGTTAGCACATGAGGACCTAAGGAAAGCTGGATTGCTGATTTTCGCTAATAAACAAGATGTTAAAGAATGCATGACTGTAGCAGAAATCTCCCAGTTTTTGAAATTCACTTCTTTTAAAGATCATCAATGGCATATTCAGGCATGCTGTGGCCTTACTGGTGAGGGACTGTGCCAAGGACTTGAATGGAAGATGTCACGACTTAAGATTAGATGATTTCTACTGACCTCTTCTTATAGACTTTGTGTAAATGAAGTGCTGGACTTTATCTGAAAGCTGCAACAATTAATGGTTTAGATATATTTATAATAAACTGATTTAAATTTTTTTCTAGAAGAAAAATTAAGACCACTTATTTGAAAACAAAGATGAAGAATCACCTTCCAGTTTGCTTTCTCATTTGTTCCTTCCAAAGTCAGGTCTTGAAAGCTGTGATTGACTTTTTTCTCATAATGAATCCTCTCAGGACGTTGTGTAGCCTGTGGTAAGTACAAAGGGAGAGGAGAATATTTTTACTTTTGAGAACTTTATCATCAATATAACCCTTCCCTAGTTGAATGTTGTTCTCTTCTTATTCCATTAAGTCAAAATACAAATCAGCACAGACACTCAGTTTCCAATATTTTAAAATGTAATGTTGCTATTGAAAAGTCTTTTATATTAAGATTGTGTATGTATTGTATATATACCTCAAGTTCAAATTAATGGCTTTGACTTACATTACAAGGAAAAGTAAATAATACAAAACCTAATGATAGCCTTAATTATAACCATGGTGACATGAGTACTGGCATTGGTGTTGTCATTTTGTGTTTTTCTCTTTATGTTCTCTGTATTGTACTAACCAATCCTAAAAATCATCAAACTGCTTTAAAAGAAAGGTAGAAGAGGAAGAAAGCTTGATATTTTTGTACATGTTTTCTTATTGATCAAATAACTTACAGAAACGTGTAATACAACTGAGTGGAATATATATCAAATATATCAAATCCTTGGCTTAGTGTTACTAATGGGCAGAATTGCACAGTGAGCAATTATCAAATTATTGCTTTTATTGGTCCATTGCCACGTATATTACTGAATAAACTGTTAATCCATTAAAAAAAAAAGATCAAGAGGCTGTCATTCAAAGAGAACAAGGGGATATTGCATAGTTCAAAATCTAGAAGGGAGTGTGTCAGAGTTGTATCCTTTCATCATATTTATTCATTCTATATGCTGAGCAAATAATCTCAGAAGCTGGACTATATGAAGAAGAATGTAGCATCAAGATTGGAGGAAGAATCATTAACAATCTTTAATACGCTGCTGACACAACTTTGCTTGCTGAAAGTGAGGATGACTTGAAGAACTTACTGATGAAGATTGAAGACTACTGTCTGCAGTATGGATTACATCTCAATATAAAGAAAACAAAAATTCTTACCTATAAGTAGCATCATGATAAATGGAGAAAATATTGAAGTTGTCAAAGACTTCACATTGCTTGGTTTTACAATCGATGCCAATGGAAGCAGCAGTCAGAACATCAGAAGATGAATAACACTGGGCAAGTCGGCTGCAAAGGACCTCTTTCAATGCTGAGGAGGAAAGATGTCTCCTTGAGGACTAAGGTGCGCCTGACACAAGCCATGATATTTTCAATCGCCTCATATGTATGTGAGAGCTAGACAATGAATAAGGAAGACTGAAGAAGAATTTATGCTTTTGAAATGTGGTGCTGGCAAAGAAGGATGAACTGCTAAAAGAACTAAAAAATCTGGATGAAGTACAGTTGGAATGCTCCTTGGAAGTGAAAATGGCCAGACTTCGTCTCACCTACTTTGGTCATGTTACCAGAAGGGATCATTCCCTGGAGGAGGATGTCATGCTTGGTAATGTGGAGAGTCAATGAAAGAGGGGAAGGCCCTCAATGAGATGGATTGACACAGTGGCTGTGGAGATGGGCTCAAGTATAGCAGCGATCATGGAGCTGGTGCAGGACTGGGTGGTGTTTCGTTCGGCTGTGCATAGGGTCACCGTGAGTCGGCGATGACTCGGCAGCACCTAAAACACTAACAACACAAAAATATCAGTTTTCAGTATGGTTTACATCTCAACATGAAGAAAACAAAATTCCACACAACTGGACCAGTAAGCAACATTATGATAAATGGAGGAAAGATTGAGGTTGTCAGGGATTTCATTTTACTTGGATCCACAGTCAACACCCATGGAAGCAGCAGTCAAGAATCAAACATTGTATTGCGTTGGGCAAATCTGCTGCAAAAGACCTCTTTAAAGTGTTAAGGAGCAAAGATAATCACATTGAAGACTAATGTGTGCCTCAGCCAGGCCATGGTATTTTCAATCTCCTCATATGCATGTGAGAGCTGGACAATGAATAAGGAAGACTCCAGAGGACTAGATGTTTTTGGAATTTGGTGTTGGCAAAGAATACTGAAAATACCACGGACTGCCAAAAGAACAAACAAATCTGTTTTGGAAGAACTGTAGGCACAATGCTCCTTAGAAGTAAGAATGGTCAGGCTTTGTCTCTCATGCTTTAGTCATGTTGTCAGAAGAGATGAGTAGTTGGAGAAGGAGATCATGCTTGGTAAAGTAAAGGGTCTTTGAAAAATGGGAATACTCTCAAAGAGGTGGATTGACATAGTGGTGCAACAATGTTGTTAGGTGCCTTTGAGTTGTCTCTGACTCATAGAGACCCTATGCACAGCAGAAGGAAACACTGCCCGGTTCTGTGCCAGCTCCACGATCCTTACTATACCCAAACCCATCATTGTAGCCACTGTGTCAATCTACTTTGTTGAGGGCCTTCCCCTCTTTCCTTGACCATCCACTTTACCAAGCATGATATCCTTCTCCAGGGAATAGTTCCTTCTTACAACATGACCAAAGTAGGTGAGATGAAATCTGGCCATTCTCACTTCCGAGGAGCATTCTGGCTGTACTTCTTCCAGGACAGATTTGTTAGTTCTTTTAGCCATCCAGGGTACTTTCATCATTCTTCACCAGCACCACAGCTCAAAAGCATCAACCCTTCTCAAGTCTTCCTTATTCATTGTCCAGATCTCACATGCATATGAGGTGATTGAAAATACCATGGCTTGTTACCATGGCTTGTGTCAGGTGCACCTTAGCCCTCAAGGAGACATCTTTGCTCTTCAGCACTTGAAAGAGGTCTTTTGCAGCTGGTTTTCCCAGTGCTATATATTGTCTGATATCTTGACTGTTGCTTCCATTGGTGTTGATTGCAGAACCAAGTAATATGAAGTCTTTGACAACTTCAATCTTTTCTCCATTTATTGTGATATTGCTTATTGGTCCAACTTGATGGCAGTGGGTTTGTTTTTTTATTGGTCCAATTGTGAGCATTTTTGTTTTCTTTATAAACTTGTATGGTGTAATCCATACTGCAGACTGTAGTCTTCAATCTTCATCAGTAAGTGCTTCAAGTCATCCTCACTTTCAGCAAGCAAAGTTGTGTCATCTGCACATATTTCAGGTTGTTAATGAGTTTCCCGCCAATCCTGATGCCACATTCTTCATATAGTCCATCTTTTGGATTATTTGCTCAGAATACAAATTGAATAAGCATGGTGAAAGGATACAACCCTGACACACTCACTTCTTGATTAAACCATGCAGTATCCCCTTGTTCTGTTTGAATGACAACCTCCTGACCTATGTACAGGTTCCTCATGAATATAATCAAGCATTTTGGAATTCCCATTCTTCTCAATGTTATTATGATTCACACAATCGAATGCTTTTGCATAGTAAATAAAACATAAGTAAACATCTTTCTGGTATTCTTTGCTTTCAGCCAAGATCCATCTGACATCAGCAATGATATCTCTAGTTCCACATCATCTTCTGAATCCAGCTTACATTTCTGGATGCTCTCTGTCAATATACACTGCAACAGTTTTTGAATTATCTTCAGTAAGATTTTACTTGTGTGTGATATTAATGATATTGTTTGATAATTTCCACATTCTGTGGAATTACTTTTCTTTGGAATGAGTACAAATATGGATCTCTTCCAGTCAGTTGGCCAGGTAGCTGTCTTCCAAATCTCTTGGCATAGCTGAGTGAGTGCCTCTATCATGGCATCTGTTTGTTGAAACATCTCAATTGGTATTCTGTCAATTCCTGGAGCCTTGTTCTTTGCCAGTTCTTTCAGTGCATCCTTGACTTCTTCCTTCAATATCATTGGTCTTTGATCATATGCTACCTCCTGAAATGGATGAACATCGACCATTTCTTTTTGGTACAATGACTTTGTGTGTTCCTTCCATCTTCTTTTGATATTTCCTGCATCATTTGATATTTTGCCCATAGAATCTTTTAATATTGCAACTCAAGGCTTAAATTTTTCTTTAGTTCTCTGAGCTTCAGAAATGCTGAGCATGTTCTTCACTTTTGGTTTTCTAACTCCGGGTCTTTGCACATTTCATTATAAAAATTGGCTTTGTCTTCTCAAGCTGCTCTTTGAAATCTTCTGTTCAGTTGTTTTCTCTTGTCATTTCTTCCATTTGCTTTAGTTACTCTCTGTTCAAGGGCAAGTTTCAGAGTCTCTTCTGACATCCATTTTGGTCTTTTCTTCCTTTCCTGTCTTTTTAATGACCTTTTCCTTCCTTCATGGATAGTGCTCTTGATGTCATCCCACAATTCCTCTGGTTTTCGGTCATTGGTGTTCAATGCATCAAATCTATTTTTTTAGATGGTCTCTAAATTCAGGAGGGATCTATTCAAGTTAGTATTTTGGATCTCATGGACTTGTTTTGTTGAGCCCGTGTTCAGAAAGGAATGTCGACGCGAGGAAGCCACCACTAACACCATAATGCAAAAGCAAAAGGAAAGTTTATTTGCTATCTCGAGCTAGGGTCCCTGCTCTCACCGATGTAGCAGCTTGGGCAAAAGACCCTGTGCTCTTTTACTATCACATTTTTATAGGAAAAATATAGGGTGGAGTAGCACCAGGGCAAAGGGGTACAGATGATTGATTGTTGCTAAGGGGTTTAGGGCAGGGGTCTGAGATGTTGGGGGACGTGTTGGAATCCCCCGGCTCCAAAGTCTAGTTAGGGAATTATTATCTAGGGAGGATGCAGAGCCCTGATACGTGGGAGACTTCAGGAGCCAGGCAAATCTCTGATACGCGCTGAATCTGGAGGAAATCTCTGATACGTGCTGAATCCGGAGGGTAGATAAAAGCCCTGAGGCATGGGGCTTGTTAGAATCCCCGACACTAAAGACTTCTGGTTAAAGATTTACCTGGAGGCCATTAGGACTCAGGCCTCACAGTTTTAATTGTCTTCAATTTCAAGTTGAACTTGCATGTGAACAGTTGATGGTCTGTTCCACAATCAGCTCCTGGCCTTGCTTTGGCTGAAGATACTGAGTTTTTTCATCACCTCTTGCCATAGATGTAGTCAATCTAATTCCTGTGTACTCCATCTGGCAAAGTCCATGTGTATAGCCACCATTTGTGTTTTTGAAAAAAGGTATTTGCAATGAACAATTCATTGGTCTTTTAAAATCCTATCATGTGATCTCCAGTGTCATTTCTATCACCAAGGCCAAATTTTCCTACCACCAGTGATTCTTCTTTGTTTCCAACTTTTGCAATCCAGCCACTAGTGATAATCAGCACATCTTGCTTGCGTGTTCAGTCAATTTCAGATTGCAAAAGTTGGTAGAAATTTTCAATTTCCTCATCTTTAGCTTTGGTGGTTGGTGTGTAAATTTGAATAATAGTTGCATTAACTGGCCTTCCTTGTTGTTGTTGTTGTTGTTGTTATGTGCCATCGAGTTGGACCTGACTCACAGGGACTCCTCCTTGGGTTGCCAAGGCAGTATCACTACGGAAGTAGATTGCTCAACCTTCTTCGTTGGCATATGGATATTATCCTATCACTGACAGCATTGTACTTCAGGATAGATCTTGAAATATCCTTTGTGATGATGAATGCTACGCCATTCCTTTTCAAATTGTCATTCCCAACATAGTAGATCATATGGTTGTCTGATTCAAAATGGCCAAAACTGTTCTATTTCAGTTCACTAATGCCTACGATATCAATCATTATGTGTTCCAT